GAGTGGGTTCTTTAGAAGAAACCAACACCTGTTGAAATCGTTACTTCAGTATTTGGCACAAATCCCAAGCAAGCCTTTTTTTAACAACAAAAACATATGTACAGGCCAGGCAAAAAGCACAGCTAGTTCTGATATTGTGCTTTTAGTGATCTGCAGCTCGGAGCGAGAGGGGCTGTGACTCATTAAGCGATCCCGGCACGGAGCCTTCCTCCAATTCCCTGTATTGCTTAGAGAGCACTGGGTTGTAGTTGCTGTCAAAAGATTGCAAAAGGAGAGCTGGGGGGACCTTCCCTGCTTTTTAGGTGGGGTCTTTTTGAACTGTTTGATACGGCACACTGTGAATATTTTATAAATCTTTGTGTTGAGGGGATTTATCTGCCCGTTGGTTAAGGAAAAAACCAGCAGCCGCTTTGTGACTGGTACCCTGCCCGAGTGGTTGAGGCTTTCGACAGCGCCCGTTCTGTAGGGAGTTTTCATCTCTAAGAGCCATCTCTTAAGTTTTGGATTAATTCGGTCCCTCATCTAAAGAAAGCATAAAGATTTTGGCTGTCTGTATATTTGGAAATTGATGGCTTCTAGGAGAGATTCTGTGAATAAAGACTGTTTGAGTTGCTTTCCTAGAGATGGTTTTAAGTCAGAATAATGCATGCGCTGTTTTCCTCGGGGCGATCTCATTTTCTCCTCCTCTATTCAGGGACTACTCTAATATATTCCCATGAGCATTCACATGATGTAGGCAGACCGGTCCCTTTTCTTCCTGTCCTGTCTTGGCATTGTCGGTGTGCGGCGTGGTGGCATCACCGCCAGCGCCGCTCGGCATCCCCGCTCGTGGTGTTACCGTTTTCTCAGAGGGCTTGGCGCAGATCACCTTGGCAGGTGGCAGCTCTTCCTTCCCTTTGCTAGAAACGTCTTCAATCAACCTCAGGTGGTTGAGGTGGTGCTCACAAAGGTGGTAACGCCGAAAGGCAGAGCCACTCGTTTCCATCCTGCCGTTTCCTTTGCTCGAAGAAAGCGTAAATAAAAAAAAAACCCCAAAAAACAACACAACATACAAACATGCCGTTTTGGGGATGCTGCATGTTCTAATACTTCTCCAAACTTTGCTCTTCAAAATTCTGGCGTGGCGAGGCAAAGGCTTTTGGATCTATTTGAATGAAACTCAACCAGATTTGTTGATGTACACACTACAGTACCGTAGCAACCAACCTGCATCTAGTCCAAGATCTGAACGTTTGGTCTTTAAACAATTCTTTGCTACCAATCTAGGAATGTTCTTGCATTTCAGAGTGCGAAAACAGCCAGTTGACATCTAGTGAGGAACAACATACATTATAAAATACGTACTCCTCCACAGTGGGAGGAGAGGGAACTTATGTAAGCTCATTTCGTTGCTATTTAATTGTAGTTTTTTTGAGTCCTTGGAAGATGCATCCCTCGGAGCAGGATTGTTGTGTTCAGATGCTGAGAAATTGTGCTTTATCAGTGTGAAACAGGGCTTTGGTGGCAGTGTGGTATTAAACCTAGATGTGTTGAGTGGGAACATTACAGAATTGAAGGAGGAATTATTTTAAATATTGGTACTACTAAATTAAAAAATTGAGAAAGACCACTAGCTAAAGATTAATCAAAAATCATAGCTCTGATTAATGAGCTATTCAGACAGTATCACCTTCTGAAAGAAGCGACAATGAAAATAAGTTGATGTTTGAGTAGAAAAGAAACAACTTTCTCTTGCACACTGTTTTTGTGCTCCAGAAATGTGTACGACTACGGGAAAGCATAGTAGGATGTTTCAGTAGAGAGGTGTCATTCAGAGCTGAAGAGTGATACCTGGCATTTATGGAAGCTTTGCAGACTCACATTTATCTTCATGTGTATCTGTTAAGTAAGGAACTCTTGCTGTTTTGTTTTTTTTTCTTTAATTTGCAAACCTGTCTCTGCCCTTCCTACGGAGCTTTTCCTGGTGCAGGAAACAAGAACCCATCTAATGATGGAAAGCTACAGTTCGCCGTAACGTCTCTGTTACCCAGATTGCCAAAAAGTTGAATGTTTGGTTGATCAGTGCACTGAATGTACTAAATTGAGATGACTTTCTTACGTGTACATCACACACACGCACAGCTGGCTGGTTTTGATACTGGAGTCACGATCGGACTGACACAGTGTTTTTACGTCGCGGCTTTCGGAATCGCAGGCGACGTTAGGGCCGTGTGGATGCACGTGGTGGTTATTTGTTGGAAATGGAACGCGATCCCTGGCTAGGAAGTTGGTTTCTCTTCCACCACTGTGCACTTTCACGCGAGACCTGACGTGGGGGTTTGCCAGCCGTGCTTTGTGGGGACGGTCGACATCCACTCGCCGAGGTTGCGCTCATGCTGTTCATGGATGGGTGTCCGTTCTCGGTGACAACGGACCTGCTGTTGAGTTGAGTGAGCTGAAACATCTGAAAAATAAATGAGTTGCCCTTACGCTTTCCTCCTCCTTTTCTTTTAGTTACAGCTGCAGAAAACCCAGTATCTGCAACTGGGGCAGAGTCGTGGCCAGTACTACGGTGGCTCGCTGCCGAATGTGAATCAGATTGGAAACAGCGCTATGGATCTGCCCTTCCAGGTGAGTTTCGTAGGGTATTTTGTTCTTTCTGTCGATGAGTGCTGTGCCTGCATGCTATTTTTAACTCACAGGAGACCACGAACTAGCTGCTGGTTCAGAACATAGCACCATGGCCTCAGCAGATCGCCCTGTTTTAAAAAGTTTTGCTCTTCTGGAGGGGAATGTGGTTGTGTATGGGATGCGTGGATATTTTTGTACTGTATATATCTAGTGTTAGGTATTAGTTTTCCTGTCCCCGTTGTGATGCTTTTTGTGTCAAGAACATGCAGAGGCCATGCAGTTTCTTTGTCAGTGAACATTCATGGTGGTGGTGGGTTGTTTTGGGGGTTTTTTGTTCAGTACCAAATTCATAACAAAATCTTCTGTGAAGATACTGTAGACTCGAAGCAAATAATTCAAGGGGATGTGGAAAGCACTGGGACGTGGGGGCATTGAAGAAGGTACCCCAAGGCAGTGTGCATGTTCCATGGGAGCAGTGAATGGTTTTAGGAGAGGAGAAGGGGGAATGGGACACAAACCAGTATCAGAATAGTCACTTTTCCGTGGTCTGGCTGAAAAGTAAGTGTACAGATGTGCTGACTTTTTTTTTTCCTGCTGTTGTGACTCCAGAGGTAATTCACTATAAACAGAAAATCAGTGTTTTATGTGAATGTTTTGCTGTTAGTAAGCATGTTTGGGGGAGAAGATGTTGTACAGTGGGTAGGATTAAGCGACGGATACTTTTGGCACTCCTGATTTCTATAGTTAGTTGATTTAGAGCGCTCAAAATAATGAAAATTTCTGCATTAGCTTTCCTTTTTTGAGTAATAACATTGACATTTTATCTCACAAGGATGTGGTAAGAATTAAATTTTGTAGTTTGCTGATGAAGGCTGACTTAATAAAAAGGGAGAAACTATTGATGATGTCCTCGAACTATACATTTGAAAATACATGTAGACAACTGAATTTGTGGAGGTTAAAAGCTTGAATCTTGTGCGAGAGGAGAAGCGAGTGTCTAATTTAATCTGGCTGCCTTTAGGGAATACAGTGCAGAGGTTTGTGATGTTGTGAAGTCCTTAGTATTGCTCCACAGGCGTCTGGTCTCTTCAGGATTTTGTCTTTAGTTTCCTGTTAAGGAGGTTCATAATTAACTGTTCTTTTTAAGCAAAAATATTTCAGTATTTCTGTGCTTGATGGCAGTTACTGATGGTTATTGCATAAACTCTTTTAGTCCTGAAACAGAGTGCTTGAAAGTGAGTATTCAAAAATTTATGAACTAGTAGAGGACGATACGGCAACGAATTGTCCTTAAATTCCAGGGTTTTATTGCATTTTTTTTACACACACACACAAAAATCCCAAGTTGATATTGTTACAGATAACAAACAATGACAAGCAACGAAGTAAAACCCGTGTATTTGTGTCAGTGATGAATACTTGCCAGGTTTTTCGGTTTGAAGCTAAAACACAGTGAAATTGCCAAAAGATGCTCGTAGGATGTGCCGATGAGGTCAAGCCTGTCTGGCTGCCTCTGGAGAGAGCAGCAGTGTCTGAGAATCTTGGTTCTTTGCATTTGCAGCACAACGGAGCTCTGGCAGAAGCCTTTGGAGCAGTTCCTGTCTCGTTGGTAAACAAGTATTTAGGTTTGTGCAGATACGTATTTGGGACTGGCGCGCTGTTTGCCCAGGCAGATACGTATTTCAGCACACGTTACACTTTCTGGTATGCACAGTATTTATTTGATTCACCGTCCCAGCTCCGCAGGAGTTATGGTCTGTCACATAAATACAGGTTTTGCCATGCATCCCCCGTTCGGAACATGCATAATAATTCCTGTACAGACTCCCCGGACTTGCTATGGTCTGTCATGTCATTACTTATGATTTGTGGGGGATTAATTTGGTGCAGCCGGCGGTTTATTTGGCACTGACTTGGCCTGTGGTTTAAGCAATCTCTGAGCATGTGCACTCAGCCTGCATGTTAAGCTCCATCGGGAAAGGCAGAATGATTCCCCAAACGCTGCTTGTCACCAGGAGGCACCGAAATGTCAACTGTCAGTAGGTACCGCTCCTCTCTTTCCCCCTCATCCACCTTACTCATTTTTATTTCTTAAGTCAATGTCTTGATAAATCTTAAAGGGACACTGTTGCTTTAGAGCACTGAGCTTTTTCCTTCCTGTCTGTATTTAGCTGCATTTTTTTTTTTTTACTTTAATGTTTTTTGGAGCTTTGGTTCTGATCTGAAATCCTTGAATGTTTTTCAGGGAAGTGAAACAGTTCCAGTTCTTCGTTTTCCAAATAAAATTGATGTTCAGATCTGTTCTTGTTCTTTTTTTTAGTCACAGTTGTTTATTATAGTTAAGTATCACATGCCCTACAGGAATGAAGATTTTAATGAACGTGTCTTGCCTGGTGCTTGGTCCAGAGTAAGTTTCATGAGATGGTTACTGAGAGAAGCCAGACCTGTTGGAGGTGATACCCGTTTTCTCAAGTGTTTGTCCTCTTTCCTGATTTCCCTAAGCAAGTTAGGGATTCACTCGGCATCTTTGTTCCTGGAAAGCCAGAGAACAGCATTGCCCAAAAATTCCTTGCTCTGTCAATTGTAGCCCTGTGATGGAGCACGGTCCGTGTTTACTTGTGCCACTGCTGCACTCAAATTAGATTTTGTTGTGTTTTTATATGGAAGTTGTGCCAAAAAAAGGGAAGACTTAAGAAATAACTATTTTTGCATTCAACTTTTTTGGTGTGTATACTCATATTCTTTGGCTTCCTTTTAAATTGCAGGTGAGGTCTGCGTTCTGTATGCTTCAGGCTGGCGTCTCCTTTTTTTAGTAACGTTGTGGTTGAGACCACTGGCGTAGGAAATTGCTTCTCCTGTTGACCTTCCAAGCACGCATGTATTTGCAAGTTTTGCTGCCTTTTGGGGTAGAACTGATGTAACAACAGCACAAGGAAGATTTCGAGACCTTTTGTTGTTGTTTTAGAATTACGAATATTCCCAGTTCTGTGCAGTGCTAGTTAGGTATAGAACTAAATTGTTGTTTAGCATTTTACAGCAGAGATTAAACCATCATATTTTAGTTTAAGTGATTTAAAATTGAGGTGCTATGACTTGAGGTTACTAAGTCTTTGTGCAAGGAAGTCATACTTGCGAAGGGACTGAAGCAAAACACTGTGACTTTAATGGCTGAGAGTACAGTAAAAAGTCACTGTGCTCCCTTGCTCATCCCACGTTGACTTCAGCAATATTCTGCTGCATATAAAACGTTGGCCCTGAAACGAGAAAATAAACTCTGCAGCCACTTTACATTCATGTGTACTAACACAGGTCCTGTGTGCGTAGAGGGCGAGGAGGCAAATATTTGCTAAATAGAAAAGAGTTTAGAATAGTAGAAAGACTCTTTAAAAGAGTTTTTACAAACAAAACATTTAAAGATAAATGTGAACCTTTTTAGAAGTAATCATTTAAACAGCCAAAGCTGGACGCTTTAAAAAGAAAAATGAAAAAAAGATTAATGTGGGAGCCAGATGGTTTCAGGGCTTGGCAGACAGGACAGTGCATTTGCCACGTGCAGCACCTGAATGGAGGAGGAAATTTTGGATTTCCAAACAGATGGTGTTGAGGGACTCGGCAAAGCTGTTCGCATTGGCAAGGAGTGGAAGACTCTGTAGCTTTTTTTCCCCCTGGAGACCCATATATTGCTGTTGAAGTACGAGTAGAGGTTGACCATTTGGTACTTCCTTCGCCCCCCCCGCAGGTATACCCTGGGAAGGGCTTTTGAAAATGTAGGAGAAGTTTTCCAGTTTAGCCTGGGAATTTATATTCCCTGTCCTCTCTCTCTGCCATCCTCATTCTCTGAAATCAGTTGCTGACAAGTAAATGCTCTCCAGGTCCCGGCGCCGATAAGATTAGAAGTGGAATCAACCTACTTAAGGTCACTGCGCAACCTGAATGAAATGGAAATCGCTTAACAAATATTGGATGCTGTAACTTTTTCTAGACAGAGGAGGAAGGAAACGGCTTTTCTTTTTCTTGTAATTCTGTCAGTGTCCCCCTAAAATAATTACGCTGAAAGGAGGGGTGAAAGGAAGTTTTGAGAGACCGTGGCGTGTTCTGGTGAATGGTAGGCTCTCTGTGCATCTTCTTCCCGCATCTTCTGCCCTTGGAATTTCAGCTCTGGTTGTCAGCATGTTCCTTCTGGATGCATGCTGCATGCTACACCGAGGGAATGCAAGCAGCAGTTGTCCGTAGGCTCCCTGCCACACTGGGCTGTGGTGGTTCAGAGATGCAAAGGTTGGAGAGCAGCGCTCGTTTATGAGAGGGCAGGTCTAGCATGGTCTGTCTCCCCTTTCTCTGATCTCTGTTTGGAAGTGGTAGCCCTGGTAATTGCTTTCCATGGCTATAGTGAAAGTGGTGTTGGAGGAAAAATTTACGTGGTTACGCTTGTCCGTATCTTTTTTGAGTTTTCCTTAGAACAATTGAGCCTTGCATAGGATACAAATAGGTTCTGGGTGCTCGTGCCTGTGTTTTTCTGCTTATAACTTCCTGTGTCTCTCTCAGACTCCCTTTCAGTCGTCAGGACTGGACACGAGCAGAACAACTCGGCATCACGGTCTGGTGGACAGAGTGTATCGTGACAGAAACCGGCTCGGCTCCCCGCACCGACGCCCTCTCTCTGTGGATAAACATGGAAGACAAATATCCTTTGGCTCGTGAGCTGGCAGTGAACACCTACCTTTTAATCAATATCACAGTTTTCAGTTTTTACAGCTCCCTCCTTCCTCCTCTCCTCACCTTTCAGTGGAGTCGCTTCCCATCTCTGCATAGTTAACGTCATCTGCTTTTCTGAAGAGTGATCTGGGCTATAAATACCTACTATTCTGTAAAATAAGCATTTACCTTTCTCTGTTTCCTCGGCTCCGAGCGAGGATACCGATACACACGGAGCTGAGAGGGATTGAGATTCTGTGATGGAAAAGGCAAGGCAGTCGTGGCGAAACCCAGCTTCCCGTGGGCGCTGAGTAAATCCAAACCAGAATAATTCTTTGCGGTTCATGGCACGTTTTATTGCAAGTTGGTTCATCAGCTTAGCATTTGCCAAGTGATTTTTCTTCTTGCCATTTGTGAAAATGAATTAGCTTATTATTTCTGACTGGCTTAAAATGGGCCACAATCAGAGTGGCTTGATGGGGCTGAAGGGGTTGGGTGAGTGGGAGAGTGGAGAGATGATGGCTTCGACTCACTGAGTATCACTTAGATAGGAAGGAAGGAAGGAGGAGGGTGTTTGTCCTGTTGCTCAAACGTTACAACAACCCAGATAATGCTTTGGTTTGCGTGTCCTTTTAGAGTCAGTGTGTTCCCCGTAGCGGGTCTGATCGCCTTTCTCATGTGAGCATAATGTTTCTGACAGGGTAATTTGAATTATTCCTTAGAAAAAGATTTCCAGTAGGCCTCCTACTTAAGTGAGAAAGTGGTGTTCTTCCCCTTAACTGATGGAATCACGTGGACAGCTGTCCCTATGGCACTGTGTACCTGTCACCTCCGTCAGACACAAGCTGGAGAAGGTTAGTGGCACAGTTGTATGTGTGTGTTAGTACTTGGACCGCGTTCCTGATACTGTGACACTTCCGTGTGCAACAAAGGCTTTTTTTGTTCCCCACAGCGGTTGGTCATCTGAATTGCCATACCCTCCTGAATTTAAAAATTGATTTTTTTTTCTTCTATTACGCTTATTCTTGTAGATGACTTGCTTTTAAACTTATGGCTATCACAGCTGATGTGATTTTTTTGAAGGGTAAATCTTGCCAGGTGTTCCAAGGCATACCCAAAATTGTTGGGCTGTAAAAGACTTGGCTGTTTCTCGCTGTGCAGAACTTGGTCTGCCCTCCTGGGCGCTGGAGTGGAAAGGAGCACTGTTCCTACCCGCCGTGCTCCTGACACGGAGGTGCCGAGTGGCCTTTCCCAAGGAAAGGACAGTTCATCGTGAAAGATGTGTTGACCGTGGAGGTTCCTGTCTCCACAACATACTTGCATCCTGAACCAGTCGTTTTCCCTCCCTGTGAAACAGGAAAGCTTTCTTTTCAAAGACTGGTAGAACTCAAGTGCGTATAAGCAGCTTTCAATTTAAAAATTGCATTATTTGATCATGCCTAATCCTAACAAAGCATATCAAATTATTTTCTAATGACGGCAAGCAATTTATCCTGTATTCCTCTCAATCCCCTTATTGAAACAATTGCTCTTCGAACTTGAACTAATTTGTTCTGCAAATTGATTGTTTCACAATGAAATTGTGCCTGGTATGTGCCATATATAGATTTTGTTTTTTTAATGCAGAGTATTCAGGTATTTACTGAGTTGGATACACTTATCTGAGATTCATCAATCTTTTATTTAGAGAAACTGACAATAAAACCACTGTTTTTTGCCTCTTTTCAGGACAAATTCCGATTCTGCATTGCACCAGAGTACTATGACTCCAGCTCAACAAGAATCCTTTTCAGGAGGGTCGCAGGACATGCAGCAGAAAAGAGGTAAACAGAGTCAAAACAGTAAAAATATTTGGAACATTCAAAGCATTGTGCTTCAGGTTGTATGCACGTGTGTTGGTGTTCATCTCTCTCCATAAATACACGTGTGCATGACACTTTCTAGGTTTGGTCACGCAGGAATTGGAACAAAGGACCACGTTTGCTCCTCTGGGTCCTGAAATCCAGAAAATACACCCTCAAAGGCAGCGCTTACGAAGGAGACTCTCCCATAACCTTTCCGGTGAGGAGCTGGAGCAGCGCAGCCCTCCGGCACTCACCATTCCAGTGCCCTCTGCTGGCCCTTGTTCCCACTGTCAGTTCAAGAAATATATGAAAAACTCTTAAATCTGTGTAGAGAAACTTAACCCTTAAACAACCACCCAGAGACAGGTGAACGCACAACACTCAGATGCCTGTGCAGTGTGCTGCAGCTCTTCTGTGTTCTTCTAGGGCTGTAAAACATTAAATGACAATCATATCAAACAGTATCACATAAATATGGATTTATAACTGTCAGTGTGAAAGGCTTGTGTTGATACATCTCTCTGACTGGGCTTTCTTTTGATGTTTCTTTGTCACCTTGCTATTAGCATGATGAAACAGTTGATTGCTTTGAACAAACAAACGTGCTTGGAATACGGGGAAGTAACAGCCTTATAGCATTTCTCAATCCCAGGGGAGATGGACTGGATCTTTTCCCCCTGGAATCGTCCTGTTGGCCACCCATTAGATGCACAAGGTGTGTGCATCACTTGTGCAAAACACAAAAGATAGGAAAAACTGGGTCCCAAGATACATTCTTCCATTTAGATCTAAGCAGACTAAATTGGAGGCCAGAATGCTTTAAAGTATTATTTGGTTGTTTTTTTTTTTAAGTTGGTGATGTCTCCTTGCTCGTTAAATACAATTTCAGTCTCTTCTGGTGTTCATTTTTTAAAATTTTAGTGTCTTAAGAGTAGAGTGGCACTGTTTCATATTCGTTGATAGTAGGTTACTTCAGAGTTTTCAAATGGTTAAACTTCCACTCTGAAAATTCCTTACTGAGAAGCTTAGTACTCTGATATGATTCCTTTTGTTCTCGTTTTTTAGTTTTGTTACTGACTGTCCCTGGAATGGAGGACACCACCTCTGAGGCAGACAAAACCCTCTCTAAGCAAGGATGGGACACTAAAAAGGTAGGAATCTCACATTTCAAAGTGTAGAGCTGTTATTTTCTAAACATATTTAGGTAAGCTAATGCTCTAAATATTGTCAACCAGAGCAAAATACTTGCAGAGATTAGAGATTAAATGCTATATTTAGCAACAAATCACTAAACATTAGATCAGGAGGGCACTTTGTATGTACGTGTGCATGCACACGTTTGATTATATCAGGAGAGATTCTTTAAATTTGAGCCTTGTTGGGGCAATAAAGCAAAAAAAGGTGACAAATATCTTCTTAGAGCTTCACAGAGCTCTTGTGTAGAAGAAGAGCTCTTCTGCAGAAATGTATTAAATTAAATAAAACCTGCTAATTGAAATATATCCTAAGTCTTAATCTCTAGCAGTATCTTTGCCTTTAAAAATATCTTCCTTCTATTTCAGACTGGGTCATCAAGACCTAAATCATGTGAAGTTCCAGGAATCAAGTAAGTTTTGAGCAATTTTTTTTTTTTTTTAAAGACCATTGAGATCTTTAAGAATGAATGTTATGTATTGAATGTCCTCTTGCTTTTGAGCTTTCTGAAAAGTCCTCAGAGGATGCAACACAGCACAAGATACAAGACAAGCCAGAACCTCTGAGTGACCCATTGGCTATTCCGTCCCTGGTTCATCAGAAATGCAATTATAGTTGTGTATATGGCACCTTCCTTTTTTAAAAAGATTTTAAAGATCTGTCCAGGCTGAAATTTAAATTGACATATGTCTTTTTTTTTTTTCTTTTCCCCCCTCTTTTCTCTCCCTCATTTAGCATCTTTCCATCAGCTGACCAGGAAAACACTACAACACTGATTCCTGCTACGCATAACACAGGTGGCTCCCTGCCAGACCTGACAAACATCCATTTCCCTTCCCCTCTCCCAACACCGTTAGATCCTGAGGAATCCACATTCCCAGCGCTGAGTAGCTCCAATAGTACCGGAAATCTTGCTGCCAACCTGACTCACTTGGGCATCAGCACTGCCAATCAGGGTAAGAGCCTAACTCTGAGGTGTTTCTACAGGTTGTCCATAATATGTCGCTTGTCCGAAATTATGGAAGTTGCGTTGCTGAACGTTACGGTTTTGTCTGAGAGGTAATTGCACGTCACTGTTGATTGACATTTCTTCCTAAACAAGCTTTACCAAGTCGTTTCTGTACGAAAAAGTCAGAAAGCTGTATTTAGTTGTATGACTTAGAAATCGCCTTTCATTCTTCTCAAGTCCTTGGTGCCCAAATCGACTTTTTGAGTTGTGTGTTTTTTTTTTTATTTTATGTATAAGACTACGGGGAGAGAAGAGCATCCAAAGGTGCCTTTCTTGTAACTCATTGTACAACAGCACTTGTGTTATGGAAATACCTTAAGCAGACCTTTTGTTTTCATTCCTTTAGAACGTTGGGGTTTTTTTTTTTCAATGTGAGGATTATTTTGGAGAGAGAGCATTGCTTTGTCTGAATTTTCCCTTTTGCGCAATCAAGAATAATGCGGCGCCTTTACAAGGCGTGCTAGTTTTTCTAAGCTTGTCTGCTTAAGTTTTGAAAATATCCAGAATATTCAGGCTACATAATATAGCAGGGCTTTGGGAAATAATACCAAGTGCACACCTTAATTTCTTGCAGCTCTCACTGCGGTGCCGTTGTGTTGAAATTGTGTTACCTTCCTAGTACTGTAGTTTTTGTCACCAGTTCTTCTCGAGTGCTGTTGCTGTTTGAGCTGTTCAGTCTGAGTTGTGTTTGTTGGGGTTTTTGGACTTTGGCAATACTCATAATTTTATTAAAAAAAAAACCCCCACAACCCACAAACCACAGACAAATGTTATTTGCCGTGCTGGCAGTTTATAATATACTGATCGCTTGATAATTTCAGAATTAAATTTAGCTTTATAGGCAAATAACCTAAAATGGTGATTGTTATTTTTAAAATAATTTCACTGGGTCGTACTCAAATAGTTGTGAAGAGGGTTGCATATTTTTATTGTCAGTGACAATTGCAGTCAGTTGATTCCTAGTATAGCAATAAGGTGCTGTATCCAAAAATACAAGTGTGTTTCCTGTGTTAGGCAGGATTCCCTTACCCACTTGCAAATCCTCTCGCATATTGGGAAAGGAAATAATTCTAATCAGGTTAATGCAGTGTTATGACTGAGCAGTTATATTTAGGAATAAAGCAAGAAGACGGTTTAACCATTTGAGTGCAGAGTAGGTCAGCAGCTTCCAGCATCCTTTAAGGAGTTTTCTGGTCTCAAAAGAGGAAGTTTCAGGCATGGGCTGTCACTCGAGGCAGGATTCAGCAAGTCTGTGCTGAGAGCACCGTCGTTGTGTATAAAAAGAGACAAACTACTTGCATGGAGTTAGGCCAGATGGGGTCACTAAATTTTCTGCTGTACCCATAATTAGCAAAGTAAACGATATAAAACCAAACTGGTAGGTATAGAATTGCTTTGAAAACATTTCCTGGTCTATCAAAGACATAACAGACTAGAGATATACTCATTGATGGTTTTCCTGCTTCTCTTTGGAGACTATCCCATAGTTTAATCATTGGCATAGTCAGTGTTTGGTGCTTTTTTTGAGTGATTTTTCCAAACCTTCCTTGCCTCTCTTTATCTTCTGGCTCTAGCAGAAAACAGAAAGGCTTTTTGAACCTTTTGCAGGAACTCCGTGCGTTGCACAGGCACGGCCTCCGCGGCTCCGAGGGAAGGAAAGCAGGGGGAACACACACCTGCCAGGTTATGGGGAGCCGCCAGCGATTGGAGACCCCACGTTTGTGCGTTTGAGTCCGTCGGGTCGCTGGCGCGTTCCTCGAGACAGTGTTGGTTTGGAAAACATGGCAGGGGAAGCCAGGCAGTCCTCAGAACCTGCGCCGTTGGAGCCAGTTTGCCTGCTGGCACCTTGGCAGCCCGGACTTCCTGGCTCCCTGGCAGCCTGCCTGGAAGTCCTGAACATTTGCCAAGTGCCTAGGAGCTCGCAGGCTCTTGTGAATTCCTCCTTTCTGGCAACTTTAGAACAGCTCACTAGCTGGATTGTCCTGAAATCACTTTCCAGGGCGCCTTGGTTCCTCTAGGGTGAGGCAGAGAAATAGGGGAGGCTTCAAAACTTCCAGATTTTTTTGTCTTGAATTTGAAGGAAATTACAGTACTTGAATTGTTTATTCCTGCCCCCTGCTGGGTCATGGCTCTTCAGTGTGTGAAGGATATTTCCTGCCTTCCTGTGCGCTGGCATGCCATGAAAAAGGGAGTACTTCCCGTGTAACCAGTTTTTCTTCTGCATTTTCCATTAAATAAGTGTTTGCTTTTATAATATTGCAAGTACCCTCTGATTAGTCTTGTTATATGATCTGTTATCCTCTTCCTGAAGTTTGAGCTCGTACAAGTAGAGCAGAATGTGCTTCTCTGGGTTCGACGCGTGCAGCCCGAGAGGTGCCCGAGGACGGTACCTACCATAAAGGGCAGAAGCTGCTCTGCCTGTTTCAATTGCAAGTTGGTATCTCTGCATGAACGTGGACAACTGCGACTGGTTCTGGTCCAGGATAAACCACAGGGGTCTTCCTCTCGCCCTGATGCTCTTCAGCCTGACAAAATTAATTGCAACTCAGCTGACGAGTTTCAGCCCGCTCGGCACTTTGCGTTAAGTGGTCGTCTGTTCACGCCGTTCGTTTTCCATCGTTTAGGTAATTACCTCGGTGCGAGTATCGATAAACCGTTGCTCTGTTCCCGTTGAAGCTGGTTTGTTCCTTCCTGCAGGAATGACGACGACGCCAGCCCCTTCCCAGCAGCACCGCCAGCCTCTCCTTGAGCGCAGACTCCAGGCGACCCCAGTCACAGCAGATGTCTCCTACACTTTCCCCTTTGTCACCAATTACTCAGGTACGACCTTAGAGAATTAAATTTTTTAAATCACAGATGAATTGTTTTACTCTACGCAGGGAGAAGCTGCCTGTAACTTCATCTCTCTTGTCCCGTAATTGTCTTTAAATGTGTTTGTTAATTCAGAGCCTTAAGAAGAAAGGTGTTTGTAGACAGGACAGATTTTACTTTCACTTTTCCAGAACTGTAGTAAAAAACGTCTATTAGGACACTTTTCTCTAATGGTATTGTCCCAAAGTCAATTGTGAAATTTGAAAGACATTTCTCTAATTCATCAGAAAAGCTCAATTAGTTTTTTTAATTGATTTCATAAGTGAGACTCTGCAACTGCCTGGGACATCAATTCCTAACCTGGATATTCAGCAGGGCTTTTAGAGTATTTCTTTATTGTAGGCTGGAGGTGATACTAAGTCTTTTGAAGCATTTTCTTGACTATTTCTGAGCCTTCAGGTAACATTTTTTAAGTGCAAGATGAGAGTGACTTAGTGCAGTTCTCTTCATGTTGTGCTTGAAAGTGAAGGGAAATGACCTGCCAGTATGGATGATTTTGATTGTTCTTTTTAAGGCCGTGGCTATGGATGCATTGTCTCTGGAGCAGCAGCTTCCCCCATACCCATTTTTTACCCAGACAACTTCCCAGCAACAGCAGCAGACCCAGGTGGCAAGTACCCTGCCTCAGAACACTCCTTTAATGCAGAGCTCTGGTTTACAGCGAGGAACACAGCTCCCCCCACTCTCCGTCACGGTACCTTCCACCATCCCGCAGTCACCTCCGGGCAGCCAGACCCAGCCATCCATGGGAATAGACATCAACTCGGTAAGCTGGGGCACGGCTGGCGATGATAGAGCTTTCCATCGGAAAACCTGGGAGCGAGCAGCGCGGTGTCAGAGTGCAAGCCAGGCAATAATGAGTATACTTTTAGGCAGAGTCTGAAGTAGGATTAGTTTTGGTTAAATCCGTGTTGAAATGTTTTCTGGAGGAAAATTTGGGTTTTATCTATGCTTAGGGTGGCCGTAGTTTCATAAAACAGTGTCCCTTACAACTCCTGGTTTGCTAAGACCAGCTTACATAGACAAGCATTTGTTTCATGCCGTGCTGCTGCCATCACATTGGTGTTTTCAGGCTGTTAAAACCCCAAACACATCGTGTGTCACACAGTGTGCTCTGGGCTGGAGGAGTTATCAGAAACCTGCTAGCAAGCATTATCCAAAAGTTGGAAAGACCCAGGTATTTTATTATCCTTTCTATATTTACAACTCTTTGATTTTACGGAATTTTAGAGCTTAACATTATTATCTTCAAAAATTGGGTTTGTGGCTGCCTTCAGATGCTCAGAAGAAATGGAATGTATATAGCAATGATTTATGGACAGATTTCTTTTCTTCCTTGTTTTGACATGCTCTTACAAAATGTTGTCTCTCTCTGGACATGAAAATGCAAAATGCAGAGCAAGATCAGGGTTACAGGCTAGGGGAGAATTTCACAGCCCGTTCTCTGCTCCTTCTGCCCTGCTCTATAGGTTGTCTGCCCTGTCCTGTCCTTCTGGCAGCGTGGTAGTGACAGTAACTGGTTTGAGAATGACAAGAAGCCATTGTCTATTGATGTAGTACTTGATAGGGGATGAAATTCTGACAGTTTGTGCTGGTAAGTGCTTCTGGAAAGAAGCTGCTTCCCTTTCAGGATTGGAAGGGGAAGAGGGAAGGGCAAATCCAGCAGAGGAAAGGACACCGACCCACTCAAAGTGTGTCCGAATGTTTTGTTTCTAATACTCATGTAGCTGCCAGTACAGATGATTCTGGTTTTCATTCTTTGCTTTCTGTGTTGCTTTCCTCATCCTAAACTTCTCTATGACCTTAACTTTTAAGGTGCTGTGCTTATCTTTTAAAGCAACCAAAATAATTACCAACTAAACTGAAATTAAAAGCTAGTTTATCAAAAAGCCGTTTGAGCTGCGTTACAGTCTCACTGAAAACTTCTATGCAGTTTTTGTAAAGCAACGTTGGAGTTAATTTTGCTGTAGTTTGGATGTCCACTTAAAGTGCTTAAGTAGCAAGGCAAAACAAAAAGGGTTAAGGCATATTTTCCTGAGATTTACAGAATTTGGTGTCAGCGAGCAGTGGTAGTACAACGTTCTCCCACACTGCAAAGCTATGTGATTAAATCACTCCTTTTCTTACAACTACTGGGTTGCAGGTTTTCCTCAATCACCTGTTAATTTCTCAAGGAAATATGAGGAGAAGAGCTGTATAAGTTAATTAGTGCAACGTTCTGTTTAAATGCCATGAAGGTCATTAATTTGTTCCAATCCAGGGTTCTTTATGACTAAAAAAAAAAGGTAAATCTCTGCAAACGCCTTCTCAAGACGACTGAGAACAATGTAAATGTAACTAATGTAAACCTGCAAAACCCCGTGTGAGTTCTCAGACGGTGTCTGCTCCATGTCCTGGGGTGAAACGCAGCGTGGGGAAGGATTCCAGCCTGCTGGGTTATGCACTTCCATCTTGATAAGGCACCCGGGCTGCTTGAGGCTCGAGGAGGATTTCCAGAGCAATGTAAACACAGGTCAGGAACGTGTGGCTGTGGCAGTTGGATCGAAGAATAAATTACATTAGTTTTGAGTTATTCCCAGCTTGCCATACGACTTTTCCCTAAATCGTTGGCTGACCAGATTTTTATTTTTTGAAAAAAACGGAACGTAACTGAGAACAGTGAGAAAATATTTCAAGGGTTTCGCTTGTCCAGCAGCACCGCGCTGCCCCCAGCCGCTCGGCAGACGGGTCCGTGCCGCGCTGACACCGTAACTCATCCTTTTTGCGACATCGTTCACAGTAATCCTGTCTTCATACGTAGCCAAGAATTGCTGAAGAGGATGGTTTCTCCCAGCTTCCTCGAGCTGTGTACGCCAGAAGTTGATAATTTTCCAACCTTCCGTCAATCCCATGGTCTTTAATTCTGTGTTGTTCTGTAGGCTTCACTCCAGCAGTACCGCAGTAATGCTGGATCCCCAGCCAACCAGTCTCCCACCTCTCCTGTCTCCAATCAAGGCTTCTCTCCTGGCAGCTCCCCTCAAGTAAGGGACTCTGTGCTTCCCCAGGCCTTGCTTCTCGTGTTTGTTTTTAGTCCAGTCTCTCCATTACTGACCCATAGTTGTCTCACTGTAACTGTGTGTGCCTCATGCGTTACCGGTGTCTCATCTCGTTTGCAGTTTCATTCAGTTCCAGAGTTTTTCAATAGCTGGTGAATTGCCTTTTTATTGAGCAGAGCTACCGTTTGAACGCTACAACTCAGTTATTTCTTTGGGGTGGACTGTGGACAAAGCCTCCAGGTAGACCCTTTTTAATGAGCAGCGTTGTGTAGGAGCCAACGGACGAGGTTGGGAGGGCAGGGGAGAGAGAGAGGGAGAAACTCAAGTGCCTCCTGCAGCAGGATAATTCCTGTGGCACTAACAATCACGTGTGTGGCCAAATGCGTTTGCACCAGGGCCTTTTTTTGACGTGGGAACATACTCTTTCAAAGAAAACACTGGAGAAAATGCTCTTGAGATCAGCAGTTGTATCTTGTGGCTTGCGAGTAACGGGTTAGCGAACACGCTTCCTTGCACGCTGGCTGGTTTTTCTTCCCGTGTAAGTGTGTACTCGTACATCCACGTGTCCCACGTGCGAGCTGTAGCTTGGGAGGTGTGTAATCCTACGAAGGGGAATTTTATCTGCCAGCAGTAAGACAGTTAAAAAAACAGGCAGCCTGATGTAAGGGAGTGAGTGTTTCCAGTACAGAAATAATCTGATGCTGCTCAAATAGCTCCATATGGCCGCCCTTTTCCTAAATCCTGTAGGAACAAGGTGCAGGAAATTCTTACAGAGCATCACAACAGAGTCTGAAAATACATTTTCTGTTTCATCATTTAAGGCTGTAAGTTTAAGTGCTGCCCCTTCACGGTTCCAAAGCAGAAGCTTCGTCTCTCCTTGCCATTAGCCAGGGACAGGGCACTGGTAAGCTCAGGAATAGATCCCATTGTCAGGACTGTCTGGATTTTCTTAACCCTTGCTTAATTGCTTCTTAACTTCTCTCCCTTCTGCCTGCTTCTGCCAGTCCTGCCGTGTTCTGCGTGTGGCTCAAAGGCACCAGGCGAGCTCACTCCTCTGGGCGGTCACGTGGAGCAGAGCTGTTGCCACTCTTGCTGCAGAGCTCGGGTCCAGTTCTCATTTCGGCAGCGCATCCGATTTTGATTTTTGTGTTGATCTTTCTTTCCCCCTTGACTTCTCAATAAGGCTTTCTCAGTTCTGTCCACAGGCTTGTTGCCACTGGTCAGTCCCAAGTTGTGGAGTGCAGCAAGAGTCCCCAGTGGAGCACACACCAGACTGTCATTTTTCCTACTGGGCTTGTTTTATCCTGTAAACTCTTGCTTAGATATTGCTGTTTTCAAGTGGGACACCATAACTCTGCATGAAAGGAAGAGGGTTTATTAATACTGCTTGCTTTAGTGTCAGCCTCTTAAAAATACCCACACAATCCTTAATTTTTGCTAAATTAAAAAGGAGACAGCTTTCCTGCCTCCATCAGTGAACCAAAAGCCACTTGTGTGGCACTGGTTGCAAATATTAAGTGTGGAGAGAAGCAGTGGGGGAAATAAAAACAGTTTGGGAGAAAAATTTGAGTTGATTGTGATGATGGGGCAGCTCCCAAACAGCGGGATCCTTTAGACTGTGGAGTAGTCTGCCGATAGTACAGGCGGATTGGTTCCAACAGCAGAACGTGCCCGTTGTGGAACAGTCTGGCACTGGCTGACAAGAGTGGAATAAAGTAGGTGTGCCCGGTGGGCGTCCTCCCCTGGCTCCTGTTCCTCTGGTTAATTTTAGGATAAATCGTTCTGCAGCGTGTCGGTATGATAAGTGACACGCTCCGAAAACAGAAGCCTGTGGTTTGATTTTTATCACGCACGGTTCATTCACCAGGAGTTATTTTTCATCTTTCCACATCTCCAAATCTATTTGCTCTCGTGTTGTAGATGTGTGTTTGTTGTATGAAGGTCTTCCTGTTCAAACACGAATTGAAAAGCTCTGCTTGTAGTTCTCAGCTTTGTGTTTGCATGGCTTTTCGTTGACAATGGCTTGTTTATCACTACTTTGCTTTTCTCCTCTAACACCTGGCATACTGTTCCAATTAGCTAGAAATCTGCTTTTTTTTTTTAGTAGAATGGCTGTATACTGGATAAATATGGTATGTATTTTTAGATTAATAATTTAAGCCAGGGGTTTTGTGGTTTGTTGGTTTTTTGTTTTTTTTTTTTTCCTTTGCAGTCACCACATCATTAACCCCAGAAGATGTACTGTTGACAAAACAGACCTCGTTTAGTGTTTCTGGAGGAGATGGTGTTAGCAAGATGTTTTTCGCAGAGTCATCGATAAATTATTCCAGGACTCTGAAGTGTTGAAGTAATGACATTTCCAGTTGATTTCCTTGGGGAGTTTCAGTGCTTACAGATGTAATAACCAGTACACTTCAGAGCTGAGGAATAAATACAGGCTCGTACATGTTTTGTTAGGCGTTCCCAACGTAGACTCGCACCAATAGATTTTGGTCTCCTCTTTATTATTTTTCACGTTACCCAAACTTTTTAGGATGGGAACAGCACTTCAGGGAATGCAAAGATTTCATCTTTTGCCCTACTTCTGAAAAGCTCCTGTAAAAATGAAATATCGGAAGTTAAAGGGAAAAAACACCTTGATCCTCTTTGGAGCTTTGGAATAGCAGTTGTGTTTCTAGTGCTGGTCCAAACCAGCTTTGATTCACGTCGAGTGCGTGACATCCTGAAGCGCAAATTTTGCATGAGAAATTGTCATGAAACATCGCGCTGAAGATGAGGATGCTTGAAGAGTGAGAGAGTGAAGCTTGGCTGCTCCTGATCTTGAGTTAGCCCTACGCTCTGACTTTGTATATTTTATTCTTTTTCAGAAGAAAGTAGCACAGGTACCAGGTTGAATAACGTGGAGTTTGAGTAGCTGCTTAAAGTGTCGCTGGGCGACAAGTAAGATATCGGTAGTTTCAAGAAAAGTGTGTTTTGTTTTTTTTTTTAATTTAAGTAGTGCTTTGCTTTTATTGGGCATAATGTGGCTCTTGCTCGTGATGTTTGATAAGTTCCTCGTAGCCCTGTCTCATGCGAGGCACAGAGCAGCTGTGAGGACCAGATGATGAATGGAAAAACCAGTTGCAATTACAACCAGTTTCTGGTTTTACCTGCTTCTACGGAGGGCATCGAGTAGAGTGTTAAGCTGTAAAGATGTCATTATTGTTCTGCGCTCGGAGCTGTGACAGATCACAAACGCCCAGGAAAGTGAATAAAAATCTTATTTTTGCCCATGAAGCTCTGCTCTTGGCTGAGGCTCCGTTTGATCAGCCTCGAGGATGAGCTGGCTTCGTTTCGGTGAACCATCGCTGTTTTCCGAGCCCGTTCCCCACCCTCGCGTGCAGCCGGCGGAACGCGCTTCGCGGCGACGCTCGGAGCGGCTCCGGGTCCAGCAGGACCAGCTCAGCCCGGAGTTCTGCAGCACACGCAGCGTGTGCTGAACTTCCAGCCACTTTATCCCCCAAAGTCTCGTTCTTGGGCTGTGAATTCCAATCTTGATGCCATGTTTATCCGAAAGCATCCGTATAATGTGACTGCTGAGGGTTCTGGCTGAAGGTGGGAAGGTTTTTTTAGCTTTAAAAAGAACGTAGCGTTGCTTCTGTCCTGACAGTCCCCTCTCATGGAGGCTGTGGGCAATTTAGGTTTTTTTTAAATTTTTTTGATACAAGACTGCATTCTTTTCCTTGCATGCAACCTGCAAACGAGCTGCGCTGAGACACGCTACTGATGTAGGAGGGAGAAGGTTTAAAACGTGATGTTTGCTGAAATTTTCACGTTCACTGTTGTGGACATCACCCTGTGTCTTGGGAGTACCTTGATCTTTGGCTGTGTTCAGTGCTTTTCACCGTGGTGGCTGGTGTAGCTCTGTTCTGATGTTTCCTGGGCTTTCACGTAATTTCCTGTGCTGATTAGGTTTCTAAGGAGAAAATTTGTAGCCTTACTCTTTCAATGTGTAGATAAAACAGCTGGAGAATGCTACCCAAGGTGTTAAATTATTATTTTTTTTCAGGATAGATACAAACTCTTCATGCAAATTGTCTTTTATAGACACCATCTCTTATAGATGCTCTCTTTGGCAGTAGGTGTTTTGTTTTTGGCTGGAGGATCAGAATTGGTGACAGTTTTAAGTCAGAAGTGATCTCTCCGTGATTTCCATCTGGCAGTTCTTTGGGACAGGACTGAATAGCATTAAAACATTGACCTCAAATTCTTGGTCACCTTGAGAATAATTGACAAATGGTGGAGAAGAACTGATAAAGGCTTCTCGTGCCAGTGAGGACAGCAAAATTAGCGAGGCTGGGGAGTTCCTCCTGAGGTTCTTGCCTTCGAACTGCTCATAACGTGCTGTCCCGTTCACTTTTCTGATCTGCAGCTCAAGTGAAATGACTTTGAAACATCAGTTTTATTTTGGCACCTCGTTGTCTCGGCAGAGCTGGCTGTTCCGTGGGCACGAGGTGGCAGCGAGCTTGGGCACTGCCTGCGCGCCGGCGGGCAGCTCTGCGTCGCGTCGTCTTTCCACGTGCAGTGTAATTCCCTGGGGGGTTTGTCTTTCACCCCCCCCAAAAAAAAAAACAAAAAACAAGTCCCCCAAAAAGCTGAAGTTGCAGAGTGATTTTTCTTTCTCGTGTTACTTCGCGCACTCGTCTGTTTTCATAATTCAGAAGTTTTATGTGTCGTGTGTCCTCCGTGAGGAAGCTGTGCTTGGTTTGCTGGGCTGTGTGTGTCGTGCTGACCGAACGGCGGCGTGCCACGGCAGGATTCGTGCCGCGGAGGGAAGCGCGGAACGCTGGCTGGATTTGCTGGTGGGCACTGGTGGTGACCACCCAGGGCGCCGCTCGCTGACTTTGCGGAGAAGCGGTCGGAAGGCTGGAGGCACTCGCACACCGTGGGGACGTCTGTTTGTGGGATTTTTGCACCATAAAGACTCTGTTTTGTTTTCAGCATTCTTCCATTCTGGGGAGTGTATTTGGTGACTCCTATTATGATCAGCAGATGACAGCTAGGCAGGCTAATGCCCTATCCCATCAGGTGAGCAAATTCATCTCAGATTTTCAGCTCTATTTCGGCCACTTTCAGCTTAAAATAAATAGAGATCAACTTCTGATTATTTTATGTGAGATCCCATTTTGTCCATATAGTTTTACTTCTGTTATTTTGAGTTTGCAATACTCGGGGATTTCTTTTCTTCTGTTTTGTTTTTGTTTGTTTGTTTTCCCCCACTCTTCCTTCCCCTTCCTCCCTCTTAGCCATTGCAGCAGATGTTTTAAAGGTGTTCTGCCAAGTTTATTGAATTAAAAATAGAATAAATTTTTTAAAAATAACATTTCTGACCCTAGTTGCGTTTGGGAAGGATTCACCCATAGGTGGTAACAATATTTACTCCTGAATCTGGCAAACAACTCGTGCATGGCACCAAACCTGAGCACGCAGACCCCTGGCATGGTCAGTTGGGCCAACCAGTGCACCGATCCGTTCAACTGTGAAACGTGCTCTGGTAGCAGGAAAAAACAGGATAGTTGCTGAGAGGCAACGCTTGATGGGCAGATACCTGAGTTAGTAGCATGAATTCTGGGTTTTTTTTACTTTGTTTTAAAGCTACCTTTTCTTTTGTTCTTATGATATCAAAAGCAACAGTTTTATTTTTGCATCCCCCCTCTCCTCATTCCCCTGCGCTCTGAATTTGGCAGTAAACTATTCTGGAAAGTTAAGTGAAAATAGACCATATTTTGATCGACGAAACCTAAAGATGAATTTGTTTGCCTGTCTCTTCCGACGTTACTTCCCATACTTGAGCTTCATAGGTTGCTTTGCTGTATTTCCTGGTGGCCAGAAGTAATAATTCCTTTATGCCTTGGTCTTCAGCTGGAGCAGTTTAACATGATAGAGAATGCCATTAGTTCCAACAGCCTGTACAGCCCCTGCTCCACCCTCAACTACTCCCAGGCAGCGATGATGGGGCTGACGGGCAGCCACGGCAGCTTGCAGGACTCCCAGCAGCTGAACTACTCCAGCCATGGAAACATCCCCAACATCATTCTTACAGGTAAGAAAATCACAGGCTGAACCCTGGGGTGAAACCATCCCGGCGTTTCTCTTCCTTGCACCACGGTCCAAGTCAGGCGAGAAAGGCAAAGGGTGTTGCTGCCCTTGGAGGTTTTGTTTCACCGTGTGTTTGTGTTACTGTAACACAACCGTATGACGGCTCTCGTTTAATCCCAGCAGCACCAGTTGTCTTACAGGCTTTCTCTGCCTCTGAATTTACTGGATTTTCCACCGCAGTGAGGGAGAAGCGGGGAAACGTCTTCCTCTGCGGCTCCGCTCGAGTTGGCCAACAAAGGGTGTTTCGGTGTCACATATGGTAGCCAATCTGGTCACAGTTGGACGTTTGGAAACAGTTTCTGCACAGGCCACTGGGAGAACTGTGGCTCAGTGCATATCCCAGCCAAGGACTCGTGCTGATGGAAGCAGCAAATTGAGGTCGTTGCTCCTAAACCGAGGGGGGAGAGGACAGGCTGAAGTGACGCCACGTCGTGGCCCCAAATTCACGTATGTGAATTTTGCTTTGTCTTGGGCCACTGGGATGGTTCTGAGATGCTCTGACAAATCCATAAGTCATCCAGCTGGAAACGAGGGTAGATGTTTCGTGTCTGAACTTCAGCTTTAGTTCAGTAAATTACTCCAGAATTTTTGCAGGCTGTTTCGTGACTTGTCTGCCCGGAGAACGTGTGTTTGCCAAATCCTACCGACGCTTTTCTCTTCCTCTTCCCCGCAGTGACAGGAGAATCTCCTCCCAGCTTATCAAAAGAACTGACCAGCTCTTTGGCGGGAGTGGGAGACGTCAGCTTTGATACAGATTCCCAGTTTCCTCTGGATGAACTCAAAATTGACCCTTTAACCCTGGATGGACTGCACATGCTGAACGACCCAGACATGGTCCTCACCG